TCCAGGTGGACCCCTGCACGATCACGCCCAGTGTTTTCCTGAAAGACTGCAGAGGGATGGATTCCTTGCTCCATCTCGTGTCTGCTACACCATCTCCGGGAGGAGGTGAATAGTTACAGGGGGGGACTGCAGAGATCAGAATACACTTTGAGGGTGCGGTCCTTAGGCCACAGAGCTAAAAAGGAGAAAAATAGTGAAAAGAGAAGGAAAGAGCTCAACCATCGCCTGGAATATCACGCTTATAGCTGCCTCCAGCTGGAGTGTGGGTCATTCTCACATACTAGTGAGGAGGGCAAGCATTGCTCGATAAACTGAAAAACGCTCGTGGAGTTGCTTTTACGACGTGAGCAAGCCAGTGGCGGACGGTCTGGTCAGGCAAAGTTGGCCTACAATGGCAGTGCAGCAGAGAAAGGGCAGAGGGTATTTATATCTCTCTGCTGGCTGTAGGTTTTAGAGGTGTGTGAGGTTGTGGGGTTATGAGATAGCTGGGTTCACACTCAAGATGGACGGAGAAAGGTTCACTATGTGCTCTGTATACATATTGTATTGATGTAGCGTAATGCAGCTTGCTGCTGGGTAGGCAGCATGGTTACAAGCGCTGAGCAGAGAGAGCTGCTGGTGAGGGACGCCAAGGTCGCCGGCGGAGCGTGGAGCCAGGCTGGAGCGCCGAGGAGGTGTTGCTTGTTGCGGCCGGGTAGAAAGAGGGTGGTCACATGGGTGAGGTCTTGTGGCGGCGTAGGCGCAGCTGATAGCTGACCCCGCCTCCTGCCAGGCGGCGCTGGAGGCGAGGCTGGGGGAATTCGAAAAGGGTCGGCTATTCAATCCATAAACGGCGTTTGTAGGAGGAATTCACTACAATATCTCCGGCGCGAGTGTTGGAGGTTGGCAGGGCTAAGGCTCACATGTGAGGCAGAACGGTGGTGCATGCTTAAGAGGTGGAGACATAGAACGGCGAGGGCGTGGATGTGAGCCGGCCGTTAGGGGGGGGGCACTCTGTTCAGGATACACGAGATCTGGGGAGAAAAGAGGGAGAAGGAGGGTTGTGGAGGCGAGATGAATAATGTGCTTCTCATGACAGTACAGAGTCCCTCAGTTGCGCCTGCTAGGAGGTGTGTGTGGGTCTCTGTCAGAGCAGGGGCTGCGTCAGGAAGAGGGTCCATGACAGCAGCAGGGTGCAGGACAGTAGTGGGCAAGGTACTCTGAGAGAGAGAGGGGTGTGTGGGTCCGGCTAGGAGGCAGGGGCCAGCCAGGAGGAGAGCGGCAGGGGTACTGCTGGGCTGTGGGCGACGTCTGAGGCAGGACGGTGTGTTGGGGGGTCGGTAGGACGTGGTGCTTGGGGCAGGAAGATAAACCTGGTTGCTGAGCGCAGAGGCAGCGCAGAGCTGTTTAGGGTGTCTAACCTGCTGTGTAGAGACAGTAGTTGCAGAGCCGATGAGAGCTGCCTCTGAAGGGGATAAGCCAGTCTTCCGTATGTTGCTGAAGACTGGGAGAAAGTGATCAGCTTCTCCTCCATCCTGTGTGGAGTGGTCACCTGGGGGTCACCTATATTTCAGGGGTTATGGAGACATTCACACTCAAGATTGATGGAGAAAGGAAACTCACTATGCCTCTGTATACACACAGCCGTATGTACAATGCAGCTTGGTGCTGGGTAGGGCAGCATGGTTAAGCAAGCATTGAGTAGAGAGAGAGCTGAGCTGGTGAGGTGGTGCCCAGGAGGAGGGCACGCGCTTGAAGTGACGCTAAGGTCGTGCCGGCGGGGAGCGGCTGCCAAGCTGGAGCGGTGGAGGAAAAAGCGGTTTAAGTTGCGGCCGGGTAGAAAGAGGGCGGTCGCGGGGTGAGGTCTTATAAGGCGGGGTAGGTGTGGGTTGATAGATGACCACCATTGCCGGAGCTGGAGGCGAGATCGGGGAATTCGAAAAGGGTTTATTACTTACGACAAACGGCGTTTAGGGGAGGAATCCAATTATTGGCGTGGGAGGTAGCGGGGGGACTGTGGTAGAAGCGGTACTGTTCTGTTCTCGCAAGCGAGATGTCACGTTCGATTCCGGGCCGGTGGAAGTTGTTTGACTTACTTTGAAAGGCTCCTATTAGTCCCTGTTCACCTAGCAGTAAAGTGGCACCTGTAAATCGAAAGCTGCGACCTATTCAGGGAGTTGTTGGAGCGCCCAATGACTTGATGACATAAACCACTGACTCTTTCAGGGCTTATGCCCTGACTCTTTGTAGGCTTCATGCCCTTAACTCATGAGACATAAAGGCAAGCATAAATCCAGTGATGTTTCTCTGTTGGGCGCTAAACGCTTGCGCTTCTACCCATGTTGATGTAGGGAAAGCCAATAAAAAAAAATACAGTGTGAGCAAAGGTCATGATTGGCTTGGCACAGACAGGAGAGGAGTTATAGAAGAGCAGCAAATACCAGAAAGTGCCGTGGGAGAATCCTTGGGTCTTTTTTCAGGCATTCTCTTTCAATTTTTTTTTTCGTTTTCTTGGAAGTTCTGTTTCTGAGAGGAAGATAATAGTTAATACAGGGCTGCCTCATTACTCATGCTGTCACCCAGCGTTAGAGGCGGCGCTGAAGTTTGACGGGTTCTGAAGCTGTAAATGTGGGTGCGATGCGATCAAACATCATGTTTGACAAACAAATGGATAGCATCTGGAATTCAATTAAAAGTAAAAAATGAGACACAAAATTTCTTGGTCATATAATTAGGGGTGAGGCCCTGAGGATACACACACACGGGCAAAGCTGAGGGCTGCAAGCGAGGTCAAGTCAAACCCAAAGGCGCTTACTTGCCAGCAAAGTCGAAATTGAAACGCGAGTAGGAGGCCACTGTACCTGGAGGCTTCTGAAGATGAGAAGGCAGATTCTGGAATTAGGATAAAGCTGAGGCATTGAACAGCTTTTCTCTCAGTGTTCACAAGAGATGCAACTAAACTTCCTGCGTTTGAGGACAGAGATGGTTCTGACACAGCACTGACCCACATTGTGTTCACAGAAGAGGGTATTAGAAATAAACTGTCCAGGCTAAAGGTCCATAAGAGTCCCGGAATCTTGACATGATGCATCCTAGAGTGCTAAGAGAGTTGTAGCAAATTTATTTTCTGTTCCTGAAGATCCTGTTTTGTCCGATGAAATGTAAATGCGTGGTCCTGCGTGAATGGAAAGTGGCTTATGTGAGTCCTATCTGGGTTAGCGCTGATCGCTCTGAACAACTATAGACCAGTAGCCTTGACCCAGCATATTAGCGTAAAGTAATTTGAGAGTATTATCAGAAATGCAAAAGATTGCCAACATGGTTTTATGCCGGGCCCCTGTTAAACACAATTGCCAAGGTATTGGATATTTGGACCCATATTCTGAACGGTGGTAATATCGACAATATTTACCTAGATTTTGTCAAGGCTTTGACAGGTACCCACGAAAGCTGAAAATCAAACTGGAAGGGTACGGAATTCGGGAAATGTCCTATGTGGATAGAAGACTTTCTACATGACCAGCAGGTGGTGATTAATGAAGAAATCGTCATCTGTGCCTGTCACAAGTGTAAGTCATGGCGAGTGTATTTACTTTTATCCTCTTTCGCCACTGATCAGCTTTGTTATGCTTGGGCGATCGGTCACGTCTTTTCCTTTATATTCTTCACCAAAAGGTCGGCTCGCTAGCCGCCCGGGCGATCGGTCACGTCTCTGTCACGCACTGTTGGCAAATACTGGGCATGCACCGGCTCCTGAATGTACCTGAACCCGCTCCAGTGTTGGTCAAGTCTTCTCTTGAAAGAGCTCAGTGTGGTGCCGTCACAACAAGAAATCGTCATCTGTTCCTGAGTTTACAACCCTCCTCCGAAAGTGGTTTGGGCCAGCTGTTGTTTGTTTGTTTCATAAATGACATGCCTGACGTTGTACATTCCTCCATACAAATGTGTGCCGATGACGCCAAGTTATTTCGGGAAATTAAGAACCAAGCGGACTGAGAAGAGCTGCAGAAGGACCTCTGTGGGCTCCAGGAATGGTCGAAGAAATGGCTGCTGAGATTCAATGTCACGAAGTGTAAGAGGATGCACCTGGGGCGTACCATCGGTAAGGAGGCGTATCATATGTCCCAGCGGGATGAAGAAACTGCGCTAGTTGAGACTGTGTGTGAGAAGGACCTAGGTGTGTATGTTGACAATGAGCTGAAGTTCTCGGGCCATTGTGAGAAGAAGGTAAATCAGGCAAATAAATTATTGGGTCTTATAAGAAGGTCGTTCAGATATCTAGACGGTCCGTCCCTCGTGACGATCTTCAGGAGTGAAGTGCTTCCCCATCTGGAGTACTGTCACCCCATCTGGTCCCCGAGATATGCTAGGGACTGTCAGTTGGTTGAAAATGTTCAAAGGAGGGCCACCAGACTGGTGCCTGCACTTCGGCACCTCAACTACCCTGAGAGATTGGAGCGCCTGAACTTGCCTAGCTTATACTACAGACGGGCAAGGGGGGACCTAGTTGAGGTGTATAAGCATCTCAGGGGGCACTACTTAGTCGAGTGTCCTTACTTGGAGCTGGCAGACGCTCGCCCCACAAGGGGTCACAGCTCAAGATTGAAGAAGCCACAAGTCCAGAAAACCGTGAGGGCAAACTTTTTTGGAGTGAGGGTTGTAAACTCTTGGAACAATCTACCAGAGAGTGTTGTGACGGCACCGAGTGTGAGCTCTTTCAAGAGAAGACTTGACCAACACTGGAGCGGGTTCAGGTACATTCAGGAGCCGGTGCATGCCCAGTACTTACCAACAGTGCGTGACAGAGACGTGACCGATCGCCCGGGCGGCTAGCGAGCCGATCTTTTGGTGAAGAGGATAAAAGTAAAAAAGAGCCTCAGGAGGGCCAGGGGTGGATGAATGAAATTAAAAACCGAGTCCATAGAGATACAAAACCTTGGAGGATATGAGGACCGTACTCTTGATTGAATCAGAACCATCCAATTTTCAGGTAACCAGAAAGCACTTCCAACCAAACCTAATTAACTATAACCGCCTCAAAATTGTTAAGTTTACATTGAGCAAAAAAGGTTCAACCAGCTGGTGAGATGAATCCGAATCTGAATTCTAGGTGAGAGTCAGCGAGAACGGACAGTCTGTGCCGCAGCAGCTGAGAGGTGACAGACACAGACGTCAACATTGAGCTGAGTCGAGCTTGTAAGTTTTATTCTCTGTACTGTACTGCCTTTTTTGTTTTACGGGGATTAGTCCACTCGGGCACAGGTCACTGACCCACATTAGGGCCTTGGGGGGGGCGAAAATTAATAATAATATCTAGTATTATAATTATCATTACAACAATTAATAGCAAATTAATACAAAATAATAATAATAATAATTGTAAGTAAATACAAAATCGAAAAAAAAATAGATCATGAGTGAGAAACGATATACATTAATGTACGGTCCGACTAATTACCCAAATGGTACCCAAATGTAGCAGCAATGAAGTCAAATAATGGTCCTACATGAACAAATCGGACTGCCAATCACTTCTCGACTGGTATTTGGTGTCACAAAGTCACAAAAAATTGGAAAACTTACTTTAATCTGAGTTAATAGGTCGCGTGCATGTACCGAGGGAGCGAGTAATTACCCAAATGTACCCAAATGTAGTCGCAATGAAGTCAAATGATGGTCCTACAAGCGTAAATCGGGCTGTGAATCACTTCTAGATTACTATTTGATGTCATAAAGTCACAGAAAATTGATAAACTTAATTTAATCTGAGTTGTGTTGTGTTAGGTTAGGTTAGGTCAGGTCAGGTTAGGTTAGGTACATGCACTCGATCTATTAACTCAGATTAAATTAAGTTTACCAATTTTTTGTGACTTCGTGACACCAAATACTAGTCGAGGTTAGGTTAGGTTAGGTACATGCACTCTATCTATTAACTCAGATTAAATTAAGTTTACCAATTTTTTGTGACTTCGTGCCACCAAATACCAGTCGAGAAGTGATTGGCAGTCCGATTTATTCTTGTAGGACCATCATTTGACTTCATTGCGGCTACATTTGGGTACATTTGGGTAATTACTCGCTCCCTCGGGGGAGAAAACGAGTCATCTAACCTAACCCGTAGGCCTAGCTTAAACTAACCTAACCTAACTTAAATGTTTCAGTAGTTTAAAATTTTGGGGCGTACAATACCTTAGTTAGAAGTAGAAGGACCAGGGATACCTAAGAATTTGATAGAATGATCGTCTTGCTCGTAAAACTCGGCAATAAACTTAAAATAATCGTAGGAGCACGATTGACAACCAACTTCCACCACGGCCATTGTCAGACTGGTCATTGAATTTCAAATCCGTACCCAGGCTGCTTCCTTTGAAAAATTCAAATGTGATTGGTAAAAAAAATCTCGAGATATCGATACATAAATGGTCACGACTCGATGATGTCAGTTAATATTGCGCATGTGTGATCCATAATTAACGCGGCTTCATGCCGACAACATCTCGGAGATGAAGACGAAGTACGTAAAATCAATAAAATTCAATTGTGTTGCTATTTCCCATTCCGTCTGTTATATATGGTGTTCAAAATGCTCAGAATAGGGAGATCTAAATGTTTATAGCTTTCGGGCTCGCTATGTCCTAAAGTAAAATAATACCGGGTCTGTAATTATTAACAAGTGACCCGCCGGCGATTTAGCATAGTAAACTATTATAAAACACCACACTTTAACTTTTTCTATAATGGACACTCGTAGTTTGTGCAATTTTTTTATAACCTAACCTAAAACCATTTTATAGAGGACACTCATAGTTTGTGCAAATGTTTTTTTAACCCAACCTAACCTAACCTAACCTAACCTAACCTAATCTAATCTAACCTTAACAGCATTACCGCTGAGAAGACAAAGTAGTGAGCACCTTAGGCTTCAAAATATCTACCAATGAAGCATTTGAACAAGAAATTATGGTAAATTTTTTCAAGTGGACAACCTTGGATTTTTGTTGAGCAATGTGTTTTCCGATGTTTTTGTTGTCACATGAACGAATTTGACGATGATTTTTGTCGCAAATTAGCTGTTTTTGAGTTATGCCCCCCCACCTTCAATATGGGGGACTCGAGGGAAATCAGGGTTTTTGGATAGGGGGAAGCACACACGGCTAATGGGCGGCAGAAATCATTGTCAAATTCCTTCTAATAACAACAAAAAACATCGGGAAAAAACATTGCTTAATAACCAGAAAGCATCAAAGCTAAACTAACCTAACAACGCAAGAAGTACAAGCGTGACTTTTGCATAACCGAGCGTGACGTAGAAACCCGAGTGATAGTCCTGACTGACGCGGGAGATTTGATGTTGTACAATACAGTATTGGAAAAAATTGTATTAACGACTATTCTATTGCCGTTATTAAACATTTGTGAGCATATTATATGGAACAAAAATGTTTAAAATGGTCAATTACTTTGATTGGTGAGAAAAATTGATGAGGTTCGTTGGTTGTCTACTTGTAAAAAAATACTGAAATGATTATCATATCAGAAGTCACTGATGAAAATAGAGTAATAAAATAAACACAAAACAAATGACTCGTCAGCAGGTCAATCATCAATATTAACCAATCATTTTGGTCATCCAGCGAATTTTAGGATTTTAAGTTTTGGAATCGGTAGTTTAGACCCAGTAAATATTCGTCCATTGGCTATCCTCAGGTTTTGATACAAAAATATATATTTTTTTGGTGTTTTATGGTGTGTTTTACTCGAATCTGACCTTATTCCTTGTGTAAGTAAACAGTTTTTGCAAAAAATTGGAATTTTTATTTGTAACAAACTGCTAATTTGTACAAAATGCCGGTCAGGTTTGAGTAAACACCATAAAATACCAAAACACAAACTGATCCTATCCTATCATATCCTAACCTACAACATATACAACCTAGCTTACCTGCTACTGTGGTGGAGGATACAACTGGGCGATCTGAAGAAGGAAGTGGTGCAGGATGGTTTCTTGATTTTTAAAATAAGATTGAAATGAAAAATTGAGCAAATTATTTATCATAGTGGTCCTTCCTGATGCCTGAACCAAACACCCAGCTTTTAATATCTTTCCACACAGGTATGGGAGAGAACACTTATCACATGCTCTCACAAAAGCCTTCAAAATTTGAAATTGCACGGTGGAAGGCTGGTTAAAAATGATTGGCCAGCCAGGTCACACGACACGATACTTGAAGGTGATTGGTAATTATTTACGACTTCACAGCCGCTGAATTTTTATATAAAACGAATTTAAAAAGTCACATTTTCACTGTGTTTTATAGTGGACACTGTCGTAGTTTTGGAAAATGCATTAAAAAGTGGTTATATCTAATTTATACCTAACCTAACCTCAGTTGATAAGAAAAACAAGTGTTGTTAGAAGACCTCAGCAACCTAACCAAAGAAACGTACCTGAGGCTCAACTCTCCAGACCCCCCGGCTTATTAAACAGAAAGAAGTTACTATTATATGGCGGAATTTTATGATTTTTGTGTATGTGAGGGTAGCCGCTTGATCCGTGTGGCTCATAAACATACACTGGCGTCGATCGGAGAAGACTGGCTTTGTACTGCTGTATTGCACCGAGAAAGACAGCGTAGTGTGCTCCTGACAAAGTAGTGTGGGCCAGACAAATTAGTGTGCGCCTGCTCGCCTAATTATCTACCAAACGAAGCAGTTTCCTTAAAAATTATTATTATATCAAAACTCGCTGATGAAAATATAGTAAGAATATAAACATCAATAAAAATAATGCGTTGGCTGTGAAGTCCTTCATATTAGCCAAAGCTAAAAATAATTTATTCTATAGCATTTCTGTTAGAAATTTATATTTGATGAGTATTTTAACCAATAAAATTACCAACAATATTACTTGTTCAAAGTGGGCAGGGCTTTGAGGTAGAGGGAAAATGTGGGGTAAAATACTAAAAAAACCTTTTGAAAACCTGATCTAATGTTTCCTAACTGTGAGAGGTTTGAATAATAGACCAGGTTCTTTGGAGACTTTACTCTTGCAGCGTCAGATGGTGACTGGCAACCCTGCGCTGCCACAGACAAACTCCCGCCTGCACACATGGGAAAACATATCGTATGATGATACTCTATCTCACATCTCCCCCCAAGTTAAAAGGAAATGACATTGCACATTTGAACTAATGAAAGGAAAACAATGCAATCATAAAAAATAATGCAAGAAAAAACAAAACAATGACATGTTCGTAAGCTCGGAGAGAGCGAATAAGAAAAAGAAAAAACAAACAAACAGAAAGGAAAAAAAACCCTCAAAACTGATTTTACACCACATAGTCAGCCAACCAACCCGGGTGCCTGCAGCCTCTCCCGGGCCTGGCCACGCCCAATTAGGAAGGGGCCGGGGGGTGCGAGCGAGGGCGCGGGTACGGAAGGCACCGCAGAAGGGGGGCCAGGAGGCATAGCATGATGCACCACAGGGGTAGTAGGCAAAGGGGTGGCGCCGCATCGCAGGTGGCATCTGTTGCGGATGGACACCCTGCCACTGCCAGTAAACCTGACAGCATACTACCTGTGAGGGAGGGCTTCCACCACTATGCCCGTCCTGTCCCAGAGCTTGGTAGTGGCGTCCTGCACACGCACCTGCGCGCCCACAGCTAGGGGAGCCAGCTGGTGGAACACCTCCCCCCCTCGACAGAAGGATCCTTCCTGGGCTTCAGACAAGCGCATCTCCCTCAGACGAAGTGCCCGCCGCCAGTGCTGGTCCACCTTAAGGTGCTGTCTGGCAACGGGAATGAAGTCACAGAGCTGGCGGCCGGTGGCAAGTTGGGCGGGCGACTTGTTCACCCCCCGCAGAGGCGTGTTCAGGTACTGGAGGAGGGCCTGGGATGTCCTATCACAGTCCAGGCTACCCCCGGGGCCAGTGTTGTCCCTGAGGAGCCTCTTGGCGGCCTTGACCCCAGCCTCTGCCCTGTCATTGGACTGGGGGAAGTGGGCCGACGAGAGCCGCACCTCGACCTCCATGACTTGAAGAAATCCGTCATCTCACCGCTGGCAAGGTTGGTACCTCCATCCGTGGAGATCTGCTCGGGTGCCCCCCACCTCGTGAAGTAACCCAGCAGACGGGCGATGATCTTGCCTGAGGTGGCCTCGTTGGGGAAGTGGGCGATCTCCAGCCAACTGTGAGTCGG